CGTGCAGGAAGCACCGCCGCCGACGCCTCGCCAGGGCCCGGCAGCGTCGCCGCCGCCCGCGGAGGCACCGCGCGGGGCAGCTGCGCGGCAGCCCCCGTGCCGCACGCGGCCGCCGAGGGCGGCACGGCCGCGGGGGGGGGCGCGGCAGCGGCTGCCAGCTCGGCCGCGGAGCAGGACGGCCGGGCCAGGACAGACTGCCGATGGGCGGAAGTCGGCAGGGCCCTTTGCTGCCCGGCGTTGCTGGAAGCGCTGGGGGGGGTCGCAAGGAGCGGATGTGGGGGCTGGCCAGCCGGCACCTTTCGCAGACGAGGTCCACCTCCCTCCCCCGCTTCCCCTCCCCTCCCCCGAGGCCCTTGCCACCCGCGCCCAGGTGACAAGGGCCTGCACCTCCCCCTCCTCGCCCTTTTCCCCTCCACTGCCCTCGCCCTTCTTCGGCTCCCTCTGCTGCTGCCGCTCCCCTCGCTGCTGCCACTGCTCCGCTGTTCTTCCTCCTCTGCAGCTGCAACTCATGATGACTATTCTCCTCTCTCTCCTGAGCCTGCCTCGTCGTGGCCCCACCTCTCCCGCGTATGTGCACACATGATATCAGGATACGTACCTGCTATCTATATTTTACGCCATCATGTCGGACCACTGCTTGTTTTGTAAGAGCGGTGCCCCCGCTGCAGCGTTGATCCCAGGATCGGCACTTTACGCCCTTGATTCATAGTGGCGTTCTCGCTCCAGCGCGAGCCACACTCCTGGAGCTCCTCCCGCTCCTCCTACTCCTGCTCCTGCTGCTCCTCCTTTTCCTCCTCCCCCTCCTTCCTCCTCCTCCTCCTCCTCGTCCTCCTCCTCCTCCTCCTCCTCTTCCTCCTCCTCCTCCTCCTCCTCCTCCTCCTCCTCCCTTGCTCCTCGCCCTCCTCTTCCTTCTGCCCATGCTCCTGCTAGCCCTCGCGGGGCTCACTTCCATCGATGATCCTCAGGACGTGTGTTAGCGCCGACGTGTGCTTGTCCTTCGAAGCTAATCCAGTCGACGCAGGCAACGCAGTGAGGGCCAGCACAGGCTGCATGCTATGGGTGGAGCTGAGCGGGGTAAACACGCTAGAGACCTCCCCAATGGGTCCGAGCAGACGGGCTCGGAGCATCGCGCGCATCGCCGATGCATCGGTAACGTCGACATTGTATCGGCGCCAACGGCGTGGAGAAAATCGGGCTCCCGTATCGGCGATTCGGCGCGAGTCTCCGACCCCATCCACTCGGACCCCACCTGTGAGGCCTGAGGAGTCCTGAGGATCATCGATCCCAGGCCCCAGCCTTTCGCCCTGCGTGCAGCCGCGGCCGCGAGGAGCCCCAAGCTCGGGGATCCCCTGACCCGGGTCCAATCCAGACCCGGGTCAGTCAGGCTTCGCAGGATCCTTGAGGAGCCTGCAGGATCCCGCGCCCAAACCTGGGTCAGTGCACCCCTGGCTCTGCAGCACCTTCCAAAATCTGGCGCTCTGGCTGACCCCCGTTTGCATGGACGCCCGTGTCTTGATCGGGGAGACGTAAGGCTCGGGTCCGGGGGACTCGGGTTGGCCTGACGGGGCCACCCTAAAAATGACGAGGCCCAATCTGAAATCTGACGCGAGCTCCCGCTGCAAACATCCCGCGGAAACCGGACCGCCACATTCCCGGACGCCCTCGTCAGAGGACGTTGGCAAACCCGAGTTCTGGCTTGCTCGAGTCCCACGCTTCCCCGACCTGAGCCCCGACGGAACACGCTCCCACCACTGCCGGGGACGACCACGCTGCCGGCGCGCCGACCGCCCGCCCGCCCTGGCCCGGGGGAAGGCGCGGCGGGGACCAGCAGCGCCCGGCCGGAGAGCCTGCGGGCGGCGCGGCGGGCGGAAGTTGCCGACGGACCTCGTGCAAGTTTTGAGCACGGGGCCGACCGTCCAGGCGTTCCTGTGGGGAGGACCTACCACGACATGTCTCCGAAGTGTTCTCAGAACAGAGGAGTGCACGAGCAGCAAAAGCAGTGTTATCATAACCTGAAGCCGACGTCTTCAAAGGGGCCGGTCTCTGACAGAAAGGTTCTCAGAGCATCGCCTGCAAGCCGCAAAAGGTTCTCAGAACTTTCTCTCGTGGGCCTGTAGGGAGGTCAGGACGCTTCGCCACTGCCTGGGCGGGCGTCGCGGCGGGCAGAGGTTGCCAATGAGCATGGTTTAGCCGATCCCTATCTCCACTGGCCTGGCTATGGCCACACTGGCCGGCTTACCCACCTAGGTTGGGATATACGCTTGTTTTCGGGTTTCGTGGGGCCTGTCCTCACCTGGGAGGGTGAGCTGGTGGGGCGGAGCTGCCACCAGGATCTTGAGAATTCTCATTCTATAGCCATCATGTCTGCAGTTGAGGCTCGGCTTTTGATTCCGTCGCAAGAAAATATGATGGGATTGGTACTTCTGTTGCGCCTCCCCCTCCGACCCCCCTCGTCTCTCAGAGTCTGCGCTTGCCAGGATTGCGACAAACCGTGCCGAAGCTCTTGGAAGGAGGCGAGCTAGAGATGCATAAGCCAAACGCATCCCCATTGCCGATTTCAACCTTTTCGGGGATGAATCCTGGCACACGTCTAGACAATATGTTGAGCTCGTACAGGCTGATCTGCATTTTTGGTCTAAGGCTGCTACACACATTGCAATGCTGTGCGTGAGGGTATCCTTTGTCATGGAAGGTGGTATGGAGCCCATGTTATCTGGGAAGGTACAGGATTCTCTAATTGTTGTTCACAAGCGAGCCTAGATTTGGCTTGTGCAGCATGGATGTGTATCTGTGTTCTCCTTTTGTTGTGTGAGGGATGGCAAGCAGCAGCAACAGCAACAGCAGCAGCAACAGCAACAGCAGCATGCAGTCTTGCTCTCTCCCCGTGCCCGCCTCCCGACCCTACAGGAACACCGACTTCGGCCAGGTGCGGCCCGCGCGCCCGCCTTTGAGTTGGGAGGTGGAGGTTGTTGGGGGAAGAGGATCATGGTTGTCAGGGGATTGGGTTGGTTTCGCCTAGGCGTCAGGTGCCCAACCTTTTCTTGCTCGTGCTTTGAGTATGTCCACTTCCACCATCCAGGGGCCCAATTTCGTCAGGACTGGGCCCTTTCCCCCCTGTCTCGCTATGCTTTGGTATGCCTATACATTTACTACATCATGAAACGCTGCGTGTCTAAATTTGCGTACCAATCTGTTACTGTCCTCTCTCCCCTGATGCTGTCTTGGGATTGCCCATTGCATGTCCGTTCGCACACGTAACAGATTGGTACGCAAATGTAGGCATGCAGCGTTCATGGTGTAGTACATGTATAGGCATAACAAAGCATAGCGAGACAGGGGGGAAGGGCCCAGTTCTGACGAAATTGGGCTCCTGGATGGTGGAAATGGAGGAGGAGGAGGAGGAGGAGGGAGAGGAGGAGGAGGAGGAGGAGGTGGAGGAGGAGGAGGAGGACGAGGAGGAGGAGGAGGAGGAGGAGAGGAGGGAGACAGGGTGGGAACGAGGGAGGGAGGGAGGAAGATGAGGAGGCAGCAGCAGGCGGAGTTACGGCCTTTCTGGGCAGTTGTGCCGCTGATTTGGGGCCTCTTGGGGCTGACCGGGGGCATGTTTGGGCCTCTCTTTGACGCATCTCTGGGCCTCTGCGCGCCTTTCGGATCGGTGGGCCCGGGCTCGACATGTTTTTTTTTTTTTTCACCGCGAATGTACTGCGCCAATGCAAACTCTCGAAATGTATTATCAAGGACATCAGACAACGTCGCTTAAACTAGCGCGGCGCGCCAAGGGCACGCCTCGGGATCAGTCTCGAACACTTTGGAACCTCGGAACCCTGGACTTTGGTAACTTTCATTCGATCCCTGCCTCGGCATGCCCGGGGCTTGCAATCAAGCAGCACGGCGCTGGGGCGCAAGAGGAACAATGCTCGAGGTGCAGAAATCCGGAGCACTAAAAAGTACAACAGGAGGGGAGGAAGTGACGAGGGGTGGCCAGATGAGGATAACAATTGCGAGAAGAGGATAAAGAAGGCGGGGGAGGGAGGGAGGGAATGGAGGGAGGGACAGAGGGGAATTGAGGAGGAAAGTTAGAGTCAGAGGGATGAGGGCCAGGAGGAAGAGGACAAGTAACGCTTGAACATGGCTTGTTTCACGATGTCGGCCCCGGAATTCTCTATCCCTTCTAGCTTTTCGTCCGTTTTTTTTCGTGGTCGGCCCCAGGGCAGTCGGGATTCTCAGAAGCCTGTTCCAGACAGCTACACAAAAGGGCCCAAGGTCTTACAGGAGCCTCCGTGGGACACTGCGTCCCCCTCGTCCTGCTCCTTGCTCCTCCTCATCCTCGTCCTCATCCTGTCCCTATCCATCAATGTTTTCGCGATCATCTCGTTATGGTTGTTCTCTCGCTCTCTCTCTCTCTCTCTGCATCTCTCTGTCGTCCTCAACGTCATCTTCCTGCTCCCCTCGCTCGTTTATCCGCGTCTTGTATCTCTCCAGCTCCTCCTGACCCTGCCCCCATCTTCCGGAGGGTGGGCGAGAGAGACAAAAGGCGAGTAAACGCAGGAAGACGAGACGCGGGCGGCGGCCACTGCCCACAAGCGCCTCGCCGTAGCGGCCCCGCCGCATGCCTCACTTGAGGAGGTGGGCCGCGGTCTTCGCGGGCTGGGCGGAGCTGGGGCCGCTGGACGGCCCGCCGCCCTCGTCATCGGAGTCGCCTGACTCCGCCTCCGCGGTGACCTGGTGGCACGCGCCGCGCCAGCCCAGGCACGAGATTACATCTCTTGGGCCAGCCACGACGTTCTGCTTGCTGCCGCGGCCGCCAGTCTTCTTGACCGCCGGCGGCTTCTCACGTGTGAGCTCCACCCGCGCGGAAGCCTCCTGCATGGAACCCGTGCGGCCCGTGCCCACGATCGCCGAGATGGCCTCGCAATCCAGGACCAGCTTCTTGACGTTCACCTTGAGCGAGCTCTGACCAAGCGCCTTTTCCACGTCAGTGTCCGCCTGCGCCCGCAGCAAAGGCGCCCAGGCAGGCCGTATGTCTGCCCGCGGCCCGCAAGCCTGGAATCCTCTCTGTCTTCCTTATTTCCCGCAGCCATGCTACGCTACGCTACGCCTTCAGCTTGGGATTCCCGCTCTGCTACGCTACGTTTCCAGGATATCGTTCAGCCTTGGACTCCGAGGCCTGACGCCTCAAGATTGGCCTCACTCCCCTTGCATGCTTTTTCTGGCGGGGCCCGGGGCGGTGAACGAGCGCCAGCTAACGTATACAAGGGGACGGACACGGTGACCACCTCGAAGCTGCAAGTCGGGCTGCCCTCGTCGGCCCCAACCGGCCGCGCTGCCCAAGCCACGTCGAACAAGTTGTCGCCGTGTGGACCATGAAGTCCAGTCGCCGCCACGTGGTCTGCAGTGATGTATATGGGAATCTTGCAGTAGATGGCATCCCCCTGCTTCACGTGGACGATCAGAATCGGATAACCGTACGCTGTCTTCGGCGGCTCGGTGCCGACTCTGCCCAGAAAGCCCAACTCGAGAATCTTATCAACGGTGCCTTCCTGGTCCCATTTCCTGATCTCATCGATGGCGATGTCCATGAAGATTCTCGGCGCTGCCTTCGCGTTCAGTGCAACCTCTTTCGATGGCTTCTCCACGCAGATCTTGTCGTACTTATCAAGGCTGAGGTCAATCTCCATGGCGTAAAGTGAAGCTTCGATACAAACGCAGAGCATCTTGAACATGATAGTGGACACCAGACTTCTCTCGATCTCAAACACTGGCAGCTCATCAACTTGTGTACCGTCAACGAATGTGATGTCCTGCTGCGTCCGGAACGCGTCCGACTCGTAGATGAATTTGAAGAGTCCCGTAGCCGACATCATATTCGACTTGGCTCCGTTCGCTGCCGCCGCCGGAACTACTGCACCTGCGGCGGCGGGGCATCAGAGGCAACAGTTGCATGTGCTCTCGAAGAAGCCCCAGAAGACCAAGCTATCAAGCGTTCGAGGGAATTCACTAGACCCCCAGGGCCCGAGAGCCCTCGATCCCCTTGTTTACGTCTGGTGGGCCGTTGGGTCGATTAACAGAGAGACGGCGTGAAGAAACAGGCTGCGCACGTGCACTCGGCCCCAGCCCGGGGCCCGATCCATCTGTCGAACCGAGTGGTTGCTGGGCAGGGGCCAGGGGCAAGGGGGGGTGGAGGGGTGTTTTTTTTTCACCAGAGTCTGGCCTTGATGGCTAGCCTCCTCCTGCTGCTTCTTCATCTTCTGCGTTAGCACGGCGGTCCTCTTCACAAGATTCTCGGCGACATCGTTGAGCGCCTCGGCGGGGCTCTTCGAGTTCCCAGCATACTGCGCAGCAAGCTCTTGGAGTAGACCTGTCCACGAGTCACTCCAAGCGCCCCTTATGTTCTGGTCCAGCATGAGAGCAATGTCCCATTGAGCGAAAGATTGATTGGTCAGTGCAACGTTGGCATCTCCTTTCGCAACGTCCCTCAGTAGCTTTGCCACGTCGTGCTCGGCCGCATCAAGGTCAGGCAGCCCCGCGAGGACGTCCGCCAAACCCCGGACGATATACCTGGATCGCAGACAAGAGAAGTGGCCAGCAGCAGCAGAGGCGCTCTCGCCGCCGAAGATGGATTTCATCGCTCTCGATGCCGCCAGGATCGGCTTGGTCTCATCGTCGGGATCCTTGATGCTGACGCACAAAGAGCACAATAGTGACCACTCGTGCTTTACTGGTAACGCTTTTGTGAGTATGGGCATGATCACGTCCTTCAATAACGAAGTGCCCTTGCCGTGCGCCTCGACGTGTTCTTCGACCGCGTTCGTGACGCCGTGGGTGAAGTGTCTATATGCTTTGTGGTGGCATACCAGCTTCTCGAGCGAATTCAACTTCAGCCATTCCTGGATGTCACCGGCGTGCTCCTGCGCCAGCCTCTTGATGATGTCCTCTGGAGTCTCCTCGCGCTGCACTGGGGTGTCGTCCCCCCCCTTCTCTTTCTTGCTGGAACCCAGGATCGCGAGAAGCTGCTGTCCCAAGGCCTCGCCGTCGCCCAGGACGTCGTCCAGCGATTTGAAGTGATCGACGATCTTCTCGGGCTGGACCTGGATGATGAGATCGTGGAGCTTCTCCCGGAGGGCAGACCAGTTCTTGACCGCCTTGCTGGACTTGACTTTGCCCGCCGCGACTGATGGAACACGCGCAGATCCAGTGAAGCAGAACTCCAAGGTCGTGGGCAGCACGGCAGCCTGCTGGGTTGACTTGAAAAATGCTAGGGGCGGAAGATGGAACATCCGATCGTCTCTTGTGAAGATTTGCATTCCCATTTGCAGGGCTACCTGGAGGTGCAGCGCGGCTGACCCCCAGCGGACACATATTTTGTAAACCGACGGACCGAAGGACCCGAAGGATAAAAATTGCTCACGCGTGGCCCGCCAGGGCCAGGAGCATCCATAAGCAACTATCGACGACCGCGGACTCCTGGAGCACGAACCAAGACTCCTGACTCTGCCAGCTCAACATCGGACGTCCTCGAAAGTGGGCCCCTAGAGGATCTGGACTTGAACCCGTTTGTTCTTCTGGAGGGTAGGGGCATGCCCCCCGCATCTTGTAGATGACCGCAGGGCGCGACACAGAGCAAGGGTCAAGATGGAGGGCGAAAGCGAATGTTTGAGCAGCCTGCCTTGATCGCATCCGCATTCTCGCCCTCGACGTCGCCGTCTCCGCCGCCGTCTCTGTCTCCGTCAACTCCAGCGACAGCGCTGGCGGCTTGTTGCGCAGCAGAGTGCATCATCTCGAACACATCGTCTAACCAAAGTACATCTCTCATTGTAGTCCCTCTGGCGTTCTTCAGCTCGACTTGAGATTTCAGCTGAGGCTCGCCATCATCGCGAACCTTCTTGTAAAGCACGCTCTCTTTCATCGGCATGCAGGTGCGATCCATGATCGCTTTGTTCGTCGGGGTGAACTTCTGAAAGAGCCAGGAGGCCGTTGAGTCTGACTCTTCGGCCGCTGGAATCATAAACCTGAGCAGGGTGATGGGCCGTCCACAGCAGCTGGCGAAACATCGCCCCTCTCCTCAATTCCTCCACCATCGATCCCATCTGCGCTTTCCTCTCTCTCTCTCTGTCGATGCTTCCTTCTTTAGTTCTCTCTCTCTCTCTCTCTCTCTCTCCCTCTCTCTACCTCTCTCTCTCCCTCTCTCTCTCTATCCTTCTCTATCTCTCTTTCTCTCTCTCTCTCTCTCTCTCTCTCTCTCTCTCGCTCTCTCTCTCTCTCTCTGTCATCGCACCCATGCTTGCTCCCCGTCAATTCGTCTAAACCCCTGCACAAGTCCTCGTTCTCCTCTCCTACTCTTAGTATCGTCCTCTCCCTGATCCGCCTTTTTCCTCGACTCGCCACCCTCTTCGATCTCGTCGCACCCTCCCCGTCCTATCTCATCATGTCGTCCTTCTCCTGATGTTGCCACTGCTGTTGCTAGTTCTCCTCGCCCCCCTCCTATTCCTCCTATTCTTCCTTCTTCCCCTCCTCCTCCCCCTCCCCTGCGCACTACTCTCAAGCCCTTCGCGCGAATCAGCGCGAGGGGGCCGAACGCTTTTGCTCGACCCTTTGGGACCCTTTGGCTGTCCAGTGATTTGGGGCCGACGGCAACAGTAATGCGGCTTAAAGATCATCCGACATCCTTGCCAGGCGTCTCGCACGATTCCCCATGTGACAAGTGGCACGCGGGTCGCCCGCGCATGACTGTGCTTAGCCGCTTTGCTTGCGACCCCCTCACTATCATCCACAAGCGTTTTTTATGCCTCATGATTGCGCGGACCTCCGAACGATCTGCGCATCTGGGGAAGCTGGGGGGGGGGGGGCGGTGCCGTTGGGAAGTCCCTGGACTTCGCACCCTCGAGGAAGACCGTGGCAATGTCATCGTCGGTGATGGCGTTGCGAAACTTGGATACCTGCGTGGACCAATAGTGAATCAGCCTGAGTGTTGCATTCTGGTCCATGCCGATGGCAAGATGATCGCAAGTATCTCCGACCAAGGCCTCGAAGTCATCCAGGCACTTGGCCCTGTTGATGAAGTTGTACAGGCTCCGGGCGCACTCGAAGATATCAGTATTTTCATAGACGTCCTTGTGGAACTTCTTGATGTAGGCCTCCAGTTCTGGAGCGGTTGCATCGCTCCTGGATAAGGGTATGCCTTTCTTTCTCGCATGCACTTTCCACATAGCATCGGTGTCGGGTACGTCGGTGACCTTCTGGAGAAACGTCACTCCCACTCCTTCGTGGAACTTGTTGTAGAAGTCCCGGAGCCAAGCAATGATGTCATCAGGTGTGTCCTCTCGATACTCTTCGACAGTAAGACCGTCCTGAATAGTCTCTTTGACAGTGTCCATCTCGCCAGCCTGCTCGTGCGCCAAGTAGATCGACCTCGTGAGGGTGCCGTAGGTGATCATCCTCCACGGCGGCTTGTTGCCCTCGGACATGACAGCAATGGCCGCGCCGCGGACGCCCTGCACGTTCCCAAATTGGATGACCTTGGCCGCATAGGTCTTCACTTGGACCTGGTTCCTCCGGGTGTTTCTCGCGTGCGGCATGATCATCTTGGTCCCATTCTGGTCAAAGAAATGCGCCTTCACGTCGGTTTTCAACTGAAGGGCTGAAGGGTGGCTCGATTGACTAGGCGAGCCAACAGGTGGCCCCGACAGCCCCAGCTGAAGGCATCACAGGAGTACCCTTGTTAGCAAAGCCCACAGAAACCCTAGGAAGGAGAATCGCCACAAAGAGTTTTCAACGGCCTCCTGGCGAGCGCGGCCAGCCCTATGTTATCAACGCCCTTGAACTCCTTAGACTAGCATTGATCCTAGCATTTGACTGGCATTGATCCTAGCAATTGGGTTTGACAGGGAAGGCTCACTTGCACTTACTCGAAACATTAAGCCATTCCGCTGATCCCCCACCTC